CTTCCGATCTCCCCAAAACCCCAAAACCCCATGAAGCATTATTATGTTTTAGAAGTAGAATTATGGTCATAATTTAAATTAAAGTATTGAAAAATTAAAATTACTCCTTACTTTACTAATAAGTCGCTCCGAAGTAAGCGGGATAGGTGAGTGAATATCAAAACTCTAGAGTAATCAGCATTTTAGAGAGATTTATCTCAGATTTATGGTCGGGTAGTGTTACTAATAGAGGCAACATTTACTTCTATAAAAGCTTTAAAGTCCTGTCACTACATTAAATTACTCTGATACACTTATGAAGAAGTAAATAACAAGGATCAGCTTTCTCATTGGGCTCTTAGGATGCTCATACGTACGAGGTGCCACTATCAAATCAGGATAAGGATTCCTCTAAGACTAAAAGAACCTAGCTTAGACTGGAGCTGGATGCTGTGTAGCCGAAGTTTTATAATTTGGAGGAGCAGACTCAAGCGTTGGTGAACTCAAATAAGGTTCCATTTAATCCAATAGTGCCGAAGTCGTTGTTGGAGTTGGTTCACTCGAAGATACATATCATGATCATAGATGTAATGACTATCATGGCAAAAGATATTGTGATAGAACTGATGAATGCGATGCTTCATAAGGATGTGGCATGCGCAAGAAGACTATAATCATTGAGGGAGATATTGTCTACAGAGACAGAATAGCTAGAGTTGAAAATGGAACAGCTAATGAGTGGACTGAAGGTTGTGAAGAAGTCTCTACCAACTCCAAGAGTTCATTCGCTACTCTTGAAGCACCTCAAGCCTGTGTTGAGGCATCAGTCTGTCCATCAGAATGAGTCAAGGACTGAATAGAAAATATCAGTCAGTAAAGTCATAACTTAAGTGAGTGACTTAATTGGCTTGATTTATATTAAAACTGGCATGCTTGGTTGTTAATACTTGATTTTACTTTAATACTTCACACTTCATCAAAAATTAATAATCCATCAATTTATCTTATAATTCTTTCATCATGGGGTTTTGGGGTTTTGGGGTTTTGGGG